TCCTCGGGGCTTGGTCCGGAGTCACCGACTCGACCAAGGATTTGGGGCGAGTGGCGGCATTCTGAGGTGGTAACATTGTCTTGGGCCCAGGTGGAGAAGGAGATCCCGGCAGTGGGGAGGTGAGGGGACCTGGATTGTTGGATCGTGCCGGAGTGGACGGTGAGTGTGGCTTTTCTGGGAGAGGAATATCCTCCTCCGTAGGCAACTTGTTGGAAGGCCCACTGTCGTCAAGCTGAGTCGGCTGATCTGTGCGGCTTGCTGATGGCTGTTGGAGTAAGCGCATTGCGGCAAGTTCGCGCGCCAACTGTTCAGATTGTAATCGTTCGGCCTCCAAAGCAGAATTCTGTTCGGACAAGAGATTGTCCTTGAATTCAATCTCCGTGATAGCAGCCTCCAGTTGACTATCCTTTTCCAACAACTCATCCATGGCACCAGCAACCGTAGCTCCATCGTCAATATCTTTAGCATCCGCCATATCCATATCAAATTCCAACTTTGCTTCACCAACATCAAGAGGATCAGAGCCAAACCCATCCAGAAAATCGATAGCTTCGTCAACGCCCTGTTGAGTTTGGTCGGCTGGTCGTGCCCGTAGAGTCTCCAAGCACCACACAAGTTCCTTGCGGCGTGTCGTATGGATGAGAGACTTAGGGAACCATTTGCCCAGAACTCTGTTGGATCGAGTAGTCGTTGATTCCCCCAAATGATGAGTGAAGAACAGAACCAGTCCTTTCAAAACGTTTGTTGCCAAGGCTGCGTACTTCAACCGGCTGATGAAGAGATAAGTCCCTTCCATTTCGCCAGGTAGAACCATGATGAACAGCGGGCTTGGGAGATTATTCTCCAGGTCCATTTTTCGCTTCCTTTCCGACTCTCGGGCCCGGCGCTGTTGCGCTGGTGTCAGAACAGGGCCATCGTTCTCAAGAGACAGATGCTTGGAGTTTTTGGGACCCTCTTCTTTATCTTTGTCTTCCCTTTGGTCGTCACTTTTGTAAACTTATGAGAGATGTCATCAAGGAGAGAATCGTCAGAGTCGGAGTCGGTGTCCACATCGGCCGCAGCAACT